GCTAAAAGGGCAGCATCTTTACAGTGAGGAATAAGGGTCTAGTCGTCAGGCAGGAGGAGGAAGGGGACAAGTAGGGGAAGGGGACAGCAAGAGACAGCAAGAAGAGGAGAGTAATGTCCCTCCCACGAGACACAAGACCTGGAGGAAAGGATGTGTATGGATTCGATTTTAAGAAAAAAGAAAACTGAGAGTACTTATGTTGGGTGATCCCTAGTTCCTCAATGAAGCAGAAAATGAGGGTGTCTCCTGAGAGAGTGGGGTGGGGCTGGAGGGAAAGCAGAGCCAAGTTGGAACAGCAGCCGTGAGGACTGGGGAGCAGGCTTTGTGCCAGCACAGATACAAGGCTGCCAAGTAGGATATGCTGCTTCCTCCATGAAGACTCCAGCCATCAGCTTGGTGGTGGGACCCATGCCCTACCCCAGCCCTTTGTGTAGTCTGTTTCATCATAATGCCCTGTGGTGCATCAAACAGACAGTTCTTAGAATGCAGGACCCTAATCTGGATTCATCTCACCATTCTGGAGGCTCGGAGTCTGAAATCAGGGGCTTGATTCTTTCCATTCCTTCTGCAGGTGCTGAAGAATAATCTGTTCCAGCTTCTCTCTTAGCCCCTGGTGATGGCTGGTGATCCTTGACATTCCAGTATCTGTCTCCATCATTGTATTTCTGTCTGTCTTCACCTCATTTCCTCTTTTATAATACACCACTCATATTGGGAGTAGGGTCCGCCTTGTTCAGTGTGACCTCATGTTGATTGATAATATCTTCAAAGATCCCATTTCTAAACACAGTCCCATTCACAAGTACCAGGGGTTAGGACATCAATGTATCTTTGGGGGAGACTCAATGCTGCAGAATAAGCAAGGTCAGTGGTTCAAACCTACCAGTCTCTGTAAGTCAGAACTAACTTCACAGCACCTACCAACAACAACACAGCTCAACCTGTAACGGTACCCTGTGAGCCTCCAAAAGTTATGTCCTTCCTACATGCAGAATATATTGTTCCCACCCCTGTCTTAACTCATTCCAGTATCAACCCTCATCTTCTAAATCAGATAGGGTTGAGACTCTGGGTATGGTACTTCTTCGGACAATCTGTGTATCCACAAAATCTGGATCACAAGGTATCTGTTTCCATCATATTGTTGTGGGTTGGGTATAGGATAGACATTTCTGTTCCAAATGGAAGAAGTTGGAAGGGAAAAGGAGTCACAGGTTCAGAGCAAATCCTGAACCCAGCAGGATAAATCCTATTAGATTTCAAGAAATGGAAATAATCTTCTGTCCTCTGGCCTCACTGCAAGTAGCAACCCTGGTGTGCTTCCCTGTTCCCAGCACAAGGCCAGGCACACAAGGGCTTCCCTAAGTGCTTGGTGAATTATGTAGCAGGAGACTGGAGAAGTACCCTCCCTGATGGCAGAGGGGTTGTCACTGAATGCTGTGGGAAGGAGGGAGCAGACATGGCCCAAGTTCTCAGTTGGAAAGGTTTCTCTGAAGACTTAGATGAGAACAGGTGGGCAGTGAGCTGAGGGATGCTGACAGGGGTATGTACCAGGGAGGCTCTGAGACTTTGAGAAGAAGATGGCCATGTGGTCAAGACCATAGACCGAAATAAAAATTGGGTTCCTCTGTCCTCCCTTTTTAATCACTTGCCCTGGAACAGTCAGTGACTCCCCATGACAACCAATGTTAAGTCTTCTGTTCCAAACTTCCATTCCCACCAAGGGAATGTGGGGCCAGGAAAATGTTCATCCTCCTAAGGATGGTTTAAGAAGCCAGGACATTTACAGGGAGAGAGGGGGAGTGACCTCTAACTAGCCATCCATCCCAGGGGAATGATATCTAGTGAGGTGCATTCATATGATGTCAAACTGTACGATTTGTAAGGATCCACAAAAGTTGCCAAGAATTTCAAGAATTTCATTTTACTTGGGTCCACAAGCAATGTCCATGGAAGAAACAGTCAAGAAATCAAATGGCATAGTGCATTGGAAAGATCTGCTACAAAGGACCTCTTTAAAGTATTAAAGAGCTAAAATGTCATTTTGAAGACTAAGGTGTGCCTGATTCAAGTCATGGTATTTTCAATAGCCTCATATGCATGTGAAAGCTTGACAGTGAATAAGGATGACCAGAATTATGGTGTTGTAGAAGAGCATCTAATATACGTTGGACTGCCAGAAGAACAAACAAATCTGTCTTGGATGAAGTATAGCCAGAATACTCCTTAGAAGCCAGGATGACAAGACTTCATTTAACATTCGTATCAGAATGGACCAGTCCCTGGAGAATATCATACTTGGTAAAGAGGGTCCGTGAAAAAGAAGACCCTCAAGGAGATGGATTGATACAGTAGTAACGATTGTCATGGTGTAGGACCAGGCAGTGTTTCATTGTGTATTTCAGAACCAACTCTATAGTATCAGACAACAGCAAAAACAAGGGTTTGTGTCATTCCAAAAGGTCTCTTTGGGGATGGATTTGAAAATCTTTACAAACAAAACATCCTACTTCCAAATAATTATCAAACATTGTACAGAAATGGTATTCTCACCTTAGCTTTAAATCTCTAAGATCTAACGGGACCTAGACTGACTGAAGGTCAGGAATAAGGTGAGAGCTTAGCATCATCTGGCTGACAAATCGCACATGGTCTACAGTCACATGATTACCACACATGATTATCATCTCAGCAGGGTCCTCAGTTGTTTTATGGGAAACATCTGATCATTTGCTAAGAACTCACCTATATGTCATGGCCTGCATCTCAAAGCATTTGACTTCTCTGGAAAGTATCCACTTGAACATTTATTGGGTGGAATGTTCTTTGTAAGCTAACTTGATTTGATTGGCTATCGATTAATCATGGTGGGGCAGCTGAGATAAACATGGTGGTGCAGCTGGAAGGAACAAGGTCATTGCACTGCTTAGTTAGTCTCAGCACTAAGTTCAACAGGAAATAATTGTTATTTCTATTCTTGAAGCACATACATTATATTTAATATTATAAAACTTCATCTTAATTACTAGGGAAGTAGATTATTATAACAGAAATAATGGTTTGCTGCTGTGGAGTTTGCTCCGGCTCACAGTGACCCCATGTGCATCAGAATGAAACGCTGCGCTCGCTCTCCTGTGGCCACCCTCTGAGAGGCTGCAGATCACACCTTTGTGATCCATACGGTTTTTAGGAGCTGTTTTCCAGAAGTAGACCACGAGACCTTTCTTCTAGTCTGGAAGCTTTACTGAAGTGTGTGCAACATTAACAACCTACAAGCTCTGCCTGGGGTGCATTGGCCAAGAATCAAGCTTGGGTCTTCCACATAAAGGTGAACCACCAATGTCCTTTAGAAATAATCGTGTTAAGTGCCGTGGAGTTGGTTCCGTCTCATAGTAACCGTATAAGGTTTGTGAGACTTTTAAATCTTCACAGGAGCAGAAAGCCTCTTTCATGAACTTTTTTAAAGCCCCTTCATACTGTCACTCCATCCCCTTAAAGGCTCACCCAGTTTTCAAAACTATGGATTTTCACTGTAATTTTACATGCAAACTTCATAGAAAGCCCATCATAGAATAGGGTTAGAGGTGGCATCAGGGGAGTCTGCTGTGCGCGTAACCCAGTGACAAAGGCAATTTTGCATTCTCACCCAGGCTTTTTGATGAAATATCAAGACAGTCCTTTCAAAAATGTTCTGTTTCAATCTGTATTGATTGGAATGAGACACATTGCCCATAGTATATTGTCTGGAAAAAATATCCAGTCACAGCCGACATAGCACAATCCCATTTGTGTCAAATTTCTTCTCAGTTATGACTCATTTGCAAGTGCCCAGAAACCTAACTCAAACCATCTTAGCAAAAAATGAAATGTCTTGGCTCATCTTCAATGAAAAGTCCAGAATGTTGTGATGGTTTCAGGACTCTACACATTTTGGCCTCATTCTTGGGCTCTATGTGATGGCATAATGACTGCAATCTACTCTGATTGGACCAACCTGGGTCCCACACTCATCACTGAACCAATCATTGTAGCTAGGGGCGTGTTCCTGGCCACCAAAGGGAATCAGGGTGTTACCAAGAGGAAGAGATGCCCAGTGGTCATAGATACAATAAAGGTTCTCACTTATGTGACACGACTGAGTAGATGCTCACCAAAAATGTCAACAGGGTTTTCTTATAGGATTTGGGATGTATTTTGCTCTTGTTTCAGGTCACGAGACTCATCTTCACAAGTATAGGGAATCCCAGTGGAGTCCCATCCTTGCTCAAGAGTGGTATCTACATCTTGCTGGAAATTTTGCATCTAGAATTACAATTAGAGCTCTATATGCCATATTCCACACCTCTTCTGTTGTCTTGGTTGCCCCCATTGGTGCCATATTTCTGTTGGGACCTGGATTGAGAGCTTGACCTTATCAACATTATAACCTTAAAAATTATTTTTTTCTGGGTTCAGGAACTTGGACAGCAGAGATTTTTGTCCCCACACTCAGGAACAACCTAGGAAGTCCTTCCCTTGGGGTAAATTGTTCTAAGACTTGCAGTCAGGGTCGGCCTTGTTAGTGGTGGTGACATTGTTGTATCAGAGGACAGGGGTTGTGACATCACCCGCAGCCTTCCTCCAGCTCTGTCTTCTCAGCACTGCCACCATCCTCACCAGAGCTGGACCTCATGTAGGGTCCTCCAGTCTGGACAACCACTTAGAACCAGGATGCTCTTACCTCCTCTATGTTTTCTGCTTTATGCCTGGGGATTCCCACCCTTCGTGCCCAAGCAAACCCGTAGATTCTGACCACCACACATTCCTTCACACTCTGCTGCCATGTCTCTAAAAGCCTGACTGTGCCCCTCAGGGCCAGTTTCCCAAACCCCGTCTCTTACCATGCTCCTCACTTCCCCAAAGCTGTGGCGAGAACAGGGACATTCACAAGAGACAGGAAGGACAGGTGAATGGCATTTTATTTTTTTTCAAATTGGATCCATCAGCTTCTTCTGCCTGACTTATGTTCTCCCTCTGCGCTGCTTCCTCGCCATATGAAGACTCTTCTTCCTGGCATTACAGTGTTTACGGTAGACTTGGAGTTCTTCCTGGTACTTTGCTCTCAGGAGAGCTGCCCTCTGTTCATACGGCTGCTTTTCCACATCTGTCGTCTCAGACCACATCTTCCCTGTGGCCTTGGCCACTTGAATTACCGACCAGTTTGGGTTTTCCCTCTTCAGCTGGGCATAGTGCTCCTTGCAGAAGAGTATGAAGGATGATGGAGGTCGTCTGGGTGCCTGGGGGTCGCGCTTTCTCCGTTTCTTCCTCTTGCCAACATAGTTCATCATCTCTTCTTGATATCGTGCTTTATCGAGCTTGGCCAGGGCTTCATATTTGGCCTTTTCATGCTTTGAAATGGACCTCCATTTTTCTGAACACCTTCTAGAGAACTCTTTAAAGCCAAGGTAGGAATTCGGCTGCTGCTCCTTGAATTTGTTTCTGTAATTCAACAGAAAGTGGACGTAAGAGGAGACGTTCACCTTCGGCCTTAGCTGGATTTCTTTTCCCATGTTCATAACGTCATTTTTTTTTTTTCTGGGTTCAGGAACTTGGACCGCAGAGACTTTTGTCCCCACGCTGCAGGAGCAACCTAGAAGGTCCTTTGCTTGTGGTAAAATTCTCTCTCTGTGAGAACTGCAGTCAGGGTCGGCCTTTTTAGTGGTGGTGGGATTGTTGTGTCAGGGAGCAGCAATTGTGACATCACCGGCAGCCTGGCCAATCCTGGCCAGTGCCCGTGGGTATTTGCATACAGGTCCACTTTTGGGTTAGACACTGGCAGGTCAATTATTGCCTTTCATGAACAGGAGGGTCAATCTTAGGCTACTTCCACTGGAAATGTGTCTCTTTGACTTGCTGGAAGTAGCAGGCTTTGCTCAGCTGGAAAATCCAAGTTGCTGTCAAATTGTCCCCAACTTATGGCTACCCCATATGTGTTAGAATCCAGCAGTACTCCACAAGGCTTTCAATGACTGGTTTTGTGTATATGTGTGTGTGTGTGAGGGTAGGGGATTAGATCACCAGCACTTTCTTCCAAGGTGCTCCCTGGGTGGACTCTAACCTCTAACCTTTTGGTTAGCAGCCAAGAACATTAACCACTTGCAGAACCCAGCTGTAGGGGGCTTTGAGTCCCTTGGGTGTACTTATGAGCCATGGGGTCTGCCTTCCCCACTGTAAGATTGTCAGGCTGCCACCATCCCTTCCTGAGACAGGCTGGAAATAATGAACGCGAGGAGGTAGATAGCTCCCGAACTGTCAGGATAAAATGTGAAGTCTTTCTGTTTGCCTTGAACAGTGGCAGCTCGTAACGTACAAAGGGTTTAGTAGTAACTCTAAAAATAATCAGATATGACAGCTATAACTTGGTTCCTGTCAGGACAAAGTTGTCTAATTTAAAACCCGAACATGTGGGCTATGAGTCTGGACTCTTCGTTTCTCTGAAGAAATTTGTGGGAGGGAGGAGAACCTCGAGATTTCTCTAATTACCCTTGGCGTCCATGAGGAGGAGAGAGAGTTCTCAGCATGTTGGGAGGTTTCCCTCACTCTCATCTCGGGGGTCCCTGATTATCAGGGTGGTAGCACAGAGAATAACAGCTACACTGCAAATGAGTTGGCTTTTGGCTTTTTGTGAAAGCAAATAATCCAAGAGCCTTCCCATCGCGGGGGACAAGAAAAGGCGAGAGCATTGTTTAGTGACCTTTGAACTTTATGCTAGGTACTTATAAGGTACAGGATCTACTGAACTCAGTGGTGGCTGATGGCTCTCCATTTACAGGGCTAGAAAACATTACTTTGAGACCCTCAAAAAGTAACTTGTTTAAAGGTTCGCAGCCACTCACAGGTGGGCTTCTAGATTCTGACACATGACTCTTGCTTCTTCCTGTCTGTATGGAGCGGTTTCCTTGGGAGCTGAGAGTCCAGATGCAAGGCCTCAGCCACTAAGCCTTTCCAGGAAATTTGCCCAAGACGAGGCCACATTTTGAGACTCTGCCAAAGTCCCTTCCCAAGGCTCCAAGATTAACTTCAACTTCCATTTTCTATAAATGAAAGATGAAAATTGGTTAGTCCCTACTCTTGCCTCAGTTCTGACAGGTGGCTGGACTACCTTAGCCCTCCCCACTGTCCACTTCCTGTGGTTTCTCAACTGTGAAATCAACAATTTGGATTGGGTGGGAAAGGCTTCCAGGCGAGTGCTATAGTTGCATGAATGGATTTGTGATCTATAAGATATCAAACGAAGATAGACTAGATAAAAAGGACTTGTAATCTACTTCTGAAAATTAGCCAGTGAAAACCCTATGGACCATAACAAATATTGTCCTCTAGAGTGCTAGAAGATAAGCACCACTGGTTGGAAGTCACTCCAAAGGCCAGTGACCACAACAATGAGCTCAGGCATGCAGGGATCATGGAGATGGGGATGTTTTGTTGTACCTTGGTTCACCATTGAGTTGGAGTCAACACAATGGCAACAGCCACCAGGAGGTCTCAGATGCCAGTCAAGGATGACTGGACACGTGAAGGTAGTAGGGACTAAGGGTTTGGTGGACAGTGGGAGCTGATTACTCTCTGAGCATTTCCCAAGCTAGGCAGATTTCCCACTCCACTTCTTTCTCCCACCTCTTCCTTAGACTTTAGCTGAGACGCAGAGATGAAGGGACAGCTCCTTCCTCAGGTAGGATGGAAGGTGAGGATGAATGTGTCTGAAGTCCATACATGTAGATCCGACTCTGCTCAGACTCATAAGAAACACAACAGCTTCTGTGTCTCTACTCACAACCCTCCAGCCATCTCCTGTGGATAAAACCTAGGGAGATAAACTCCATGATGACCATCTGGAGACCAGCAGATACAGCAAGAGGCAGCAGTTACAGGTAATTCTCACAGCCTGACTCCTGAACAGAAGGGATGAAGTCAGGGAAATCCTTGTTTGTTGTTGGTGTGGGCTGCTGATGAGTCGACTACGACTCAGGAGAACTCCATGTACAAAGAATGAAACACTGCCTGGTCTTGTATCCTCCTCACAGCCAACAGCCATGTGTGAACCCATTCTCCATTCTCTCACTTGTGGTACCGGTTCTTCTTACTGTGGATCTTCCACACTCCTGCTAGCCCTGCGCTTTACCGAACGCAATGTCGTCCTGATGATGTGTCCAAAGTGAGTTGGACACAGCTCTGTTGTGATCTAAAGGGTTTTCATTAAGTAATTTTGGGAAGTAGATCATCAGACCTTTTTTTTGTACTAATTCCTTATTTAAAAATCAGAATGGCCAAACCACTGTTGAGTTGATTCCAACTCATGGGCAGTTTTAACAACAAACAGTTGCCATGGCGTTGATTCTACACATGATGCTTTGGATGGCAGAGGAGAACTGTGCTTCGTAGGGCTTTCAATGGCTGATTTTTCTGAAGAAGATCACCATGTCTTTCTTTCGAGGCACCCTTGGGTGGGAATGAACCTCCAACCTTTCAGTTAGCAACTGCATTAACTGTGTCACCCAAGGATTCAGAGAGGATAAATAAACCTGGCTTTGTGTGTCAATTCTATGTAAATGGGGTATCTAATGTTTCTCCTTCCTGGTCATCTCCATCCTGATTTTTGCCTTGGGAGGTCATCCCCATATATGGTCATGTACTTTTGGCTTTATGAGTCAGAACGGACTCCACAGCACACAGCCAAGACCACCACCACTGTTGGCTTTTGTTTCAGTTTGGCCAGTGGGGAGTCCCAGCAGGAGATTAAAAAGTGATGAAGGTGAACTTCAGCCATTTATTCTGTGGTTGCCTCTCTGTGGGGTCACCTGGATAAAGCTGGCGCCCTTTTCCTCATCTGGAGGTCTCTGCTTTACTTTAGAGAACTCTCCAGGGTCCGTAACTGCTCCTTCTCTTTGTCCCCTCCTCCTTAGGGTCAATTACAGTTCTGCTATCTCTTGTGGCTTTCCTACACCCTGGCCTCACCTTTGTAAATAGTCTAGTCTATTAAACACTCCTTGAATCATTCTCATTTGAGTGAGCCATCTGTTTCCTGCTGGGATCTGCTGCATACAGCATGTTTCTAGCTTTCGACCATGGATATCTGTGGAGGTGGCTAAATAAAACAAGTGTGGGTGGACATCAGCCCAGTACAAGGATGCTATGTGTCTGGAGACCCAGGTGCCCAGAGACACATATGCTGGTTTGCAGCTGCAGGACCACATGGAAGAGATGCCTAATATGCCTAGGAAGGAGATGAGGTGGGGCTGTTGGGCTGGAGGACTTGTGAGGAAATAGTTTATGCTTGGCGAGTCATAAAGGAGTCCTGGGTGTGCAGTGGGTTAAGCATAGGGCTGTTAATCAAAAGTCAACAGTTCAAACCCATAAGCTTATCCAAGGGAGAAAGATGAGGCTGTCCACTTCAAGAAGCAGTGTCCTATGTGGTCACTGTGAGTCAGACTTGACTCTGTGGTAGTGGGTGTGGTAGTGGGTGTTTTTGTGAGTCACACAATTTCAGTCATAAATACTCAGCTCCACCATTATAAGGTCAAAAGGGGCTATATCCAATATAAAAGCAAATGAGCCTGTCAGTGTGTCATTACAACGTTATTTACAAAAATAGGCAGTAGGCTGCGCTTGACCCAAGTGTTATGTAAGTTTTTAACTCCTGTTCTAAAAGTAGTTGGTAGGTAAGGACTTTCAAATCTTTTTTATTGTGGTCTAAAGAAATGTACTTTATATATCACGACTCAGCACACACATAGTTGTTGTTGTGAAGTGCCGTTGAGTCATTTCTGAGGAGCACCTGGTGAGCTTGAACCACCGACCTTGTAGTCCAGCCCATTAACCCACACCGCCACATCAGCACATACATATCATATAATCATCACAATAATCAGAATCATGATTATTATAATGTGTTTAATGTGTTTCAGTTTCATTCTGTTGTGCATAGGGTTCCATGGTGATGACTTGGCTGCACCTAACAACAGTAACATTGATATATGCTCATTTCATCGACATAACAGCCCTTTGTTGTTGGGGACGGGCTAAAGACTTTTTATCTTCTTTGTAAAGATAAAGCTGGAGATGGTGAGGTTGGCCCAGGATCAGGCACTGTTTCATTCTGCTGTGCATAAGGTTGCTGTGAGTCAGTATCGACTCAATGACACCTAACAACAAGACAAGCATACGCAAAGGGAGGTTGCAGCAAGAAAAGTTTTATGCAACAGTCCTTACTACATGTGTGATGTATGCTTTTCTGTTCTGTTTCTATTATGCTCTCTTCTCTTTTATTATTTACACTTTCAACCCCTAAACTGGTCACAATCCGTGGGTTGAGTTGAAAATCACTGTCTAGGCATGCTGCGAGGTAGCTCCCACCTCTGAGATTATGAGTTCCTTTTTTTTATTGGTGACTTTGGGAGCCACAGACATGAGTTCAAATTCAAACTTCCTTGCGTTCTAGCTGAGTGACTTTGGACCAGTCCAGCTTGTTGCAATCCCATCTGTAAAAGGTGGTGGGGTAATAATAGAGCTG